GGGATTTTTAGGTCAATTCTTAAGTCCTACCGCCACTCGGGAATGTCCAGGTCATTTGTGTCAGGGGCGCTCAGGTCCCTGCCAGACCGCAGCTCCGTATATCTCCTTTTTTGGTATTTTCACGCAAATTCTTCTGCTAGCTGGGGTTTAGTCTACTTCTGAATCCTTCTCTTCAGGGCTCAGGGGTCCAAGATTAACTTCTGTGTCTGTGTCAATTGGTTTCCCTTTTCTTTGTTGAAGAGGGTCTGTGCAGTCTTTCTATCCTGTCCGCCATCTTCCCAGCTCCCGACAGTACCCTTCTTATGTAGATAACATACAAACAAAACAATGTAAATTAAAATCATGGGCAAGTCACTCTAACATACAATCACCAATTAAATATAAACACAAAAATGTCACAATGCCTTGGACACAACAGAGCATCACAGTGTACACAAAGAAGCAAGATAAAGCAGGAGAAAAAAAGGGACCAGGATACAGACCCAAAACACACCCCTGAGGAAGATGCAGCACTGGAACTCCCTGATAAGGAATTCAAAAGAATTATATTTAGGTATCTTCAACAAATTGAGAGACAGATCAAGGAAAACACTGACAAAATTGAGGAAAACAGAGAGAAAACCCTAGAACAATTTCAAAAGACAGCACAAGAACAAAATGGCACAATAAATGAAAAATTAATACAAAATTTACACATAGAAATCCAGAAGATTAATACTAAATTTTCAGAAATAGATAAGACATTGAATGGGCAAAGGAGTAGAACTGAATTAATGGAAGACAGAATTAGTGAGATTGAAGGCAAATACCTCAATACTTCTTTAGAAAGTGATCAATCAGAAAAAAGTTCAAAACAAAATGAAGAAAGCCTAAGGATCATGTGGGATACCATCAGAAGGAATAACCTACATGTAATCAAAATTCCAGAACAGGAAAAGACAAATGAAAGCACAGAGAAAATTGTCGAAGATTTGTTGGAAGAGAATATTCCTGGTATGATGAAAGATGAGAATATATCCATTCAGGAAGTCTAGCAAACCCCAAACTGGATAGACCCCAAAAGAAAATCACCAAGATATATCATCATCAAGCTCATCAAAACCAAAGACAGTGACAGAGTCTTGCAAACAGCATGTGAAAAATGAAAAGTTACCTACAAAGGACAACCAATAAGAATAAGCTCTGGTTTCTCAGCAGAAACCATGCACATGAGAAGGCAACAGGATGGTATATATAAAACCCTGAAAAAGAAAAATTTCCAACCAAGAATTATGTACCCAGCAAAACTGTCCCTCAAATATAATGGTGAAATTAGGATGTTTCCAGATAAGCAGAAATTAAGGGAATTTGCTAAAACTGGACCAGTCTTTCAAGAGATGCTGAAGGGAGTCCTTTGGACAGAGAACCAACAACAGCAAACAACTTATCATTAACATACATGGTGACATAACCCAGAAACCAACCCAGTGATGGAAGTATCCAAAGTAAATAAGCCTACAAGATTGTAAACAGGGATCCAGAGACATCAATTGGCAAATGAGGACAACTATGAACCAAAAAGAGGGAAAAAATTGTGTGGTTACAGAACTTCTAAATGTACGGAAGTCAAGACAACTAACTACATGATAGAACGGACTGTTCTAAACTTGGGAAGAAAATTGTAAATCACAGAGTAACTTCAAAGAAAAATGATAAACCTTCACATCAAAATAAAAAAGAAGACCAGCATAAATATTTAGCAAATTTTAAAACAATAGCAATGAAGGAAGTGATAACACAATTCATAAATAAAATGAGCTCAGCACAGAAAATTACATGGAACAAAGAAATTGACACCACGAGAAAGCACATAACAAAAATGATAGCAACAAATTCATACATGTCGCTAATTACATATCTGGCAAGGGACTTATCTCTAAGATTTATAGAAAACCCCAGTGCCTCAACAGCAAAGGAATTAACAGTCCAGTTTAAAAATGGGCAGAAGGCGTGAATATACACTTCACCAAGTAGGATATTCAGGGGGCCAGCAAATACATTAAGAGGTGCTCATGATCATTGGCCATCAGAGAGATGCAAATCAAAGCGACAGTGAAATACCATTTCACCCCAGCACTGATGGCAAGGTGCAACAAGACAGAAAATAACAAATGCTGGCAGGGATGTGGAGAGATTGGAACTCTGATACACTGCTGGTGGGACTGTGAAGTAATACAACCACTGTGGAAAGCTGTATGGTGATTCCTTAAAATGCCAGAATTGGAGATACTGTTTGACCCAGCAATCCCATTATTAGGTATATATCCTAGAGAGAGGTGAGAGCCACGATAGGAGCAGATATATGCACACCCATGTTCATCGCAGCACTATTTACAATAGCAAAAAGATGGAAACAACCTACATGCCCATGAATGGAAGAGTGGATGACCAAACTATGGTACATACACACAATGGAATGCTATGTAGCACTAAAGAGTAATGTAGATTATGCAAAACACTGGATAACATGGATGAACTTGGAGGACATTGTTGTTGTTGTTGTTATGTGCCGTCAATTCAGATCCAACTCATAGTGACCCCTCCTTGGGTTTCCGAGGCTGTGTCACTACGGAAGTAGATTGCCCCATCTTCCTTCTGAGGAGTGGCTGGTGGGTTTGAACCTCCAGCCTTCTGGTTAGCAGTCAAGTGCCTTAGGCACTACGCTACCAGAGCTCCCTGGAGAACATTATGCTGAGTGAAATAAGTCAATCACAGAAGGACAAATACAGTATTAGTTTGCTGTTGTGAAGGGTCAAGGAAAGGTTTTTATGTGGAGGGAAACTTTCTTTGTTGGTTGCCAGGGATGGGAGGGTAGGGGAGGGAACACTGCAAAAAAAAAAAAGAAAAAAAGAAGCATTGATCCACGTCACTTTAGTTTTGTCTATTTCACTGTACATAAATTATATTTCAATAAAATGCATTAAAAAAGGGGGATGGGGATCCATATCGTTGGTGTGTGCTTAAGCAAGAAGCATGCTGAAGGGCCCTCGTCATTCTCATGTAGAGCTGGTCTGCAGTCTTGTCCCCTCTCTGGGTCCCTATGTCAGGGGGCTATAGGCGGCACCATTAGGTTTTGACAGTGTAGGAATGGATTTTCTCTCTTGTTATAATGGAGGGAGGATTCAATGAGAGGCTTTGAGCAGTTAAAATAAATGATTTGCATGTTGTATTTATTGATTTCTGTCCAGTGTAGTTTATAGAGCTGGAAAATAAGCATCTGTATATGATAGCTATAAGCTTTCCTTGGACTCAGTTTGTATAAAATATATTGTATGTATGTTTATGTTCCTATTAGGAACATTCCTCAGAACTCTTGGATAGTCTTGATTTTTTTCTTTTTTAATGTGAAAACTTACAAATAAAAAACAGATTTATCTTAACAGGGGAAGGAGCCATTTATTTGTTCGATATGTGTCTACAGCAGCTGTTTGAAATAAAAGTTTTCAAGGAGAAACATCATTCTTGGTTCATAAATCAATCAGTTCAGTCAGGTGAGTGACATGGTGTATGTATTTCTATGAGCTGACTGCATGCTACAACTCATCCTGTGTCCTTCACACAGGTCTGTCAGCCTGGGTTTGAGTCTGGTTCATGGTTTCACCTTCCTTGGCACCATGTTGTTGTTGTTGTTATGTGCCCTTGAGTCGGACCCGACTCATAGCTACCCCTCCTTGGGTTTCCAAGGCACTATCACTACGGAAGTAGATTGCTTTTCCTTCCGAGGAGTGGCTGGTGGGTTTGAACCACCAGCCTTCTGATTAGCAGTCAGGTGCCTTAGGCACTACGTTACCGAGCTCCTTGGCACCATAGCAGGGTTTAATCAGTGAGAACCAAACCTACTGCCATTAACTTGATTCTGACTCATAGCAACCACGTAGCACAGAGTAGAACTGCCCTCTAGGGTTTCCAGTAAACCTGCCCCACAGGTTTCTGTAAATCTTTACAGAAGCAGACTGCCACATCTTTCTCCTGAGGAATGCTGACCTTTTGGTTGGTGTTTGAGTGCTTTAACCACTGTGCCACCAAGGCTTCTTCATCAAGGAGAAAGGGAAGGTAATTTGAGCAGGTTTAGATCAATACCTGTGTGTCTTAGATAGTAAGAAATTCGGAACTAATAAGTGATTGTTCACTGAAGCACTGACCTGTGATGCTCCTCACATCACCCAGCAGTGTTTAGGTTTAGGACACATCCTATACTGATAAAGCATCATTAACATAAAGAAGAAAACCTTATTTCCAAATAGAATTACATCCACATATATCGGATTAGGATTCCAACACATATTTGGAGGGAACACAATCCAATGAATAACAGCCTTCAAGTTTTTAACATCTTATTTCCTTGAAAATGTATACTGATTGAGCTTCCAGGAGAGTCTAGCATATAGCAGATTTTTATTTTTTAATGCTTTTTCATATAAATTATTAGTACCCCCACAGACAACCATTCCCACACCACCAAAGTTCTGTTTCTTTTAGTGTTCCCTTAATTTGAGGGCCGTGCTGATTCCGTGGAAATGAGTATCGAAAGACCCCTGTTCTGGGACTTGGTGGAGGAGTCATTGGCTATTTGAGGCATTCTGCAAGGGTAGTTCAGTGGCAGAATTCTCACCGTTTGTGCAGGAGACCCAGGTTCGATTCCTAGCTAGTGCACCTCACGCACGCCACCACCATCTGTCATTGGAGGCTTGTGTGCTGCTATGATGCTCAGCAGGTTGTAGCAGAGGTTCCAGACTAAGCAGACTAGGAAGAAAGGCCTGGTGATCTATGTCCAGAAATCAGCCAATGAAAACCCTGTGGATCGATCACAGGATTCTGATCCACAACTGATCATGGGGATGAAGTGGGACCAGGCAGCATTTTGTTCTGGTGTGCATGGGGCCTCCACGAGTCAGGGACCGAGTTGATAGCAGCTTATGAGAACAACAGATATTAAATCTGCCTGTTCTCATTGCTTTCAGAGAAAGCTTTCTGTCTCTTTCTAAGCTCCCTGCTTTCTATTGTATATGTCACCCCTTAGTGCTAAGGTAGAAGGGCCATTTTACCTTGCTTCTAAGGCATTCCAGAGAAAGAATTTGTGTTATCTATGTGCATGAGAAGATTTGAAGTAATTTTTAGTTGCCAAAATGCAAATGGTAGGTTGTGTATAGGCTGGTAGGTAAAAAGAATGTATATCCTTTAATTGTTGCTGCTATGCTTACTCATTGTGGTTTGTAGCCATATGTTTTAACCACTCTGCCACTGGAGCTTGTTCATTTGGTAGTAATAGAGTTCCAAATTCTAATGTGATACAATCGCAATTGGATTTAACTCAACAGACACAGTAATATCCAGATTGAAACTGGAAAAAGTCAGAAGACATGACTGATCATCTGTCCTGGACTGCCGGAGTTGCTACCTCTCTTTTCATCATTTCTTTCTAAACTTACCAAACCTAAACCCAGTGCTGTTGAGTCGCTTCTGACTCATCGGGACCCTAAGGGACAAAGTGGAACCACCCTATAGAGTTTCCAAGGCTGTATATCTTTATGGAAGCCGACTGCTGCATCTTTCTCCTGTGGAGCAACTTGTGGGTTCAAACCCCAGACAGTTTGGTTAGCCGAATGCTTTAGCCATGACACCACCAGACCTTCACCCTTAAACTTTCGTTCTGTTTGCTTATGTCCAGACTTGTTAGATTGTTGCCCTCTTGCCTCTTTCTTCCAGGGATGGGAAGTACACAGCGGCTTGCAGCCTTAGGAACTTTGAGTCAGCAACCTATTCAGTGCTGTGAACCCACTGCAGAGCAGACTATAGAAGTAGCCATGGGCAGACTGAATGCTATTGCTTTCCCATGACTTCGTCCTCAAAGCACAGGAAATTACATTCATTGTATTGCTCCTTTATAGATGGTCTTACTTATGTACAGGTTTCTGCCTATGGGCCCCTCCCCCCTTTCTTGGCTGCTATTGAGGGTGATTTCCAAAGAAGAAAGTGGAAAGTTAAAGATCCATTTCAATGCCTCACATTCCCTCCACACACAGATTTGAAGTTCTTTAGAGTAAAATCTCATGGACCACATTCTGCCTTTTGAAAGAACCATATAGAAATCTTGGGCCTGTGTAAAAAGAGCTTCTTAATCTGGGATTTCAAATATATTTTCATGGAATAGTTTTCCCATTGGGATTTTGTAAAAATGACTTGGCAGGGAAGCATCTGACGTCCTTTAACTTCACAAGAGGGGAGGAGGATCATTATCAGCAACATAGCCGGAGGCTGCTTCCAGTGAGGGAAAGGTGAGCGCACTTCCTTTCTCCAACCTTGTTGCGGATTCTGGCAACATCTGTCCCTCCATGCATTCTCTTCTTCTCTGCTGGCTTTGATATTTTGTTGCAGTGGCCACACAGACATACTCACAATTATAGGGTTTATTAGGAAAGTTATAATTCAGATTAGAAATGACTCAGGATACAGTTCTTTGATCAAGACAGTCTCTTCTCAGTTGTTCCTGTAAGTAGGCCTCTCTCTGGCCCTCAGCCTCACCCGTACCCTACTCCAGCGAATATTACAAAACTCTTTAGCTCCACCAATAAGTGCCTACAGGTACCCTACTCTGGCAGCAAGCTTCCTGCCCAAAGGTACTCAGCTTTCTCACTCAGTGGGCCAGGGAACACCCCCGCACCCTCTGCCAGTTTCCTGGTTCTCCTGCCTCTGTGGCAGAGAACGCTGCTTTTAGCTATCTCTAGTTGTCTCTAGTGTTATAGCTTTCTGTCTCCTGGGTACAGGAGGTTCCCAGCACAGGGATTCTAGGTCCAAAGGACACATTGTACTTATCTCTTCTTGATGGTAGTGAGGTCCCCCCTCTGCTTTGGGATTGTCTCTCTTTTAAGCTTAGTGGGATGGCAAAACTGACCGATCCCCTTGTTAGAATTCCATATTCCTTATTTGCATGGCCTTACCCCCACAAGCATGCCATGCACCTTACTTACATTATTAGCAAGCTGTGCAGTCCCCTTGGTGGGCCACAAGTACATCATTTGCATAGTCCTACCTAGTCATTTGGTGGGAGTTACAAAGACTAAGGTTAGAAGGGCCATATTAAGTAGTTCATTGCACTGCAGATTAAGATGAAATAACAAATTGTTTTTCCAAGACATTTAATTCTTTTGTTCTCTTTTTAATCTGTAGAAGGTCATCTCCACTTTGCTACCCCAATGGATCCTTTATTTCTGGTTCTCCATTATCTTACAAAGGCTGATAAAGAGGTAAGTTTCTCAATGTACGGTATTAACAATGAAGGAACAGAATAGAATGTTCTTTACTTTATTTCTTTTTTCGCCTTTTAATAATCCAAATGTAGATTCTTCACACTTCGTATTTAATTTGGTTATTGTAAAAAGCGTTTATCCTGTGTGCTTGCATAGATCAGAGCACTGACACAAAAAAGTGAGAGCCAAGGCCTTAGTCTTGATCCAGTGTAACACTCCCTAGGTAGTGTAAGTGGTTAACACTCTCAGCTGCTAACTAAGAGGTTGAAAGTTCAAGTCCACCCTGAAGTGCCTAGGAAGACAGGCCTGGTGATCTTCTTCCAAAGAAATCAGCCATTGAAAACCCTATGGAGCACAGGTCTACTCTGACACACAGGGAATCACCATGAGTCGGAGTCAATTTTAAAACCTAGTTAGTGTAACATTAGCTTGCCACACAGCCTCTGAGACTCAGCCAACCCCCTATGCCTTACCAGATTGACAAAGTGTAACAAGGAAAACGTTTATCATTAAGTACTCATTAGATTTGAAATGCAATACAAATGTTTTAAAAAGTTGACTACAGGCCTTGAGGAAGAAAGAAGACTTCTTATTTCTCATTTTCTTCTTTGTGAGAAACTGTAATAAGTAAAATGGGATATGTCTAATAAAAGCTTATTAATGAGGAAGTCTTTAGTTGAGACTTTATGGAATCCTGCTGGATGAAATTTACTTTTGTAATAAAAATAAGCTAGCCCAGGACCAGTGGAAGGCAGGTGTCTGTGTGCATGGAGTGAGCGCTCAGGGGGCAGGCTGCAGTAAGCCAGCCCGGGACCAGCAGAAGGCAGGTATTTGTGTGTGTGGAGCACCTGGGGGTGGGGGGCAGGCTAAGTAAGTGAGCAGGGCAGGGGAGATCAGGAAATGAGCAGCGTAGTTTGGAACAACTAAGGGAGACAAACTTCTGTCAGTTTGTTATAGTGTCATAGCTTGAGTGTTGATCTGAGGCTGGAGACTATGCCACCAGTGTTTCAAATGCCATCAGGGTTACCCATGGTGGACAGGTTTCAGCAGAGCTTCCAGAATAAGACAGACTTGAGAGAAGGAAGAGGCCATCCACTTCTCAAAGAATTGGCCAGGGAAAACCTTATGAATATCAGTGAAACACTGTCTGATATATTAATGCAAAACTTTGTGAATAGCCCTGAAACATTGTGCAATATAGTGCTGGAAGATGAGCCCCTCAGGTCGGGAGGCACTCAAAATACAACTGAAGAAGAGCTGCCCCCTCAGAGTAGAGGCAACCTGAATGATGTGGATACAGTAAAGCTTTCAGGACCTCCATTTGCTGATATGACACGTCTCGATGAGAAGAAACAGCTGCAAACATCCATTAATAATCAGAACATGGAATGTATGAAGTATGAATGTTGGAAAATTGGAAGTTGTCAAAAATGAAATGGAATGCATAAAGATCAATATCCTAGGCATTAGTGAGCTGAAATAGACTGGTTTTGGCCATTTTGAATCAAATGATCATATGATCTACTGTGCCGGGAATGACAGATTGACAAAGCATGTATCAAGATCTATCCTGAAGTACAATGCTGTCAAAAAATTCACAGCTGTGGAGTTGAAACCGACTCATGGTGACCCCTCCTTGGGTTTCCGAGGCAGTATCACTATGGAAGTAGACTGCCCACCCTTCCATCCAAGGAGTGGCTGGTGGGTTTGAACCACCAGCCTTCTGGTTAGCAGTCAAATGCCTTTGGCACTTGATAGGATAATATCCATACTCCTATGAGGAAGACCAGTTAATACTACTACTATTCAGATTTATGCACCAACCACCAAAGGCAAAGATAAGGAAATTAAAGATTTTTACCAATTTCTGCAGTCTGAAATTGACCGAACATGCAGTCAAGATTTGCTGATTATCACTGGTGATCCGAATGCAAAAGTTGGAAACAAAGAAGAATCACCAGTAGTTGGAAAATATGGCCTTAGTGATAGAAATAACGTTGGAGATTACATGATAGAATTTTGCAAGACTAATGATTTCACTGCAAATACCTTTTTTCAACAATGCAAATGGTGGCTATACACGTGTACTTAGCCAGATGCAGCACACAAGAATCAGATTGACTACATCTGTGGCGAGTGGTGATGGAAAAGCTCAATCTTCAGCCAAAACAAGGCCAGGAGCTGACTGTGGAACAGATCATCTACTGCTCATATGCAAGTTCAAGTTGAAGCTGAAAACAATTAAAAGAAGTCCGTGAGAGCCAAAATATGACCCTAAAATATCCCTCCTGAATTTAGAGACCATCTAAAGAATAGGGTTGATACATTGAACACCAGTGACCGAAAACCAGAGGAATTGTGGGATGACATCAATAACATCATCCATGAAGAAAGCAAAAAGTCATTAAAAAGACAGGAAAGGAAGAAAAGACCAAAATGGATGTCAGAAGAGACTCCAAAACTTACTCTAGAATGGAGAGAAGTTAAAGCAAATGGAAGAATCAATAGGATAAAAGAGCTGAACAGAAGATTTCAAAGAGCAGCTTGAGAAGACAAAGTCAATTATAATGAAAGGTCCAAAGAGTTAGAGTTAAGAAAACAAAAGGGAAGAACACGCTTGGCATTTATCAAGCTGAAAGAACTGAGGAAAAAATTTAAGCCTCACATTGCAATATTGAAAGATTCTATTGGCAAGATAAATTGAATGATGCAGGAAGCATCAAAAGAAAATGGAATCCACAGTCACTGCACCAAAAAGAATTGGATGATGTTCATCCTTTTTATGACATGGCATATGATCAAGAACCAATGGTATTGAAGGAAGAAGTAGAAGCTGCACTGAAGGAATTGGCGAAGAACAAGGCTCCAAAATTGACAGAATACCCATTGAGATGTTTAACAAATGGATGCCCCACTGGAGGCACTCCTCAATTATGCCAAGAGATTTAGAAGACAGCTACCTAGCCAATTGACTGGAAGAGATGCATATTTGTACCTATTCCAAAGGTGATCCCACAGAATGTGGAAATTATCGAACAATATAATTAATATCACATGCAAGTAAAATCTTAATGAAGATAATTAAAAACAGTTGCAGCAGTATGTTGACAGAGAGCTTCCAGAAATGCAAGCTGGATTCGGAAGAGGACATGGAACAAGGGATATCATTGCTGATATCAGATGGATCTTGTTAATATCATCATTGATCTCTTTAGAAGACCCTTTAAATATTGAGAAACTGTCATGGTGGTAGATACAAATTTTATGCAATTTAAATTTTTGCTTCTAAGTTCAGATTTTATCATTGGCTACAAATACTGTCAGGTTCACTTCATTCATTTAGTACCAAGTATCGAAGTCTGAATAACTGTGGTCCATCCAGTTGCCATCGAGTTGATTCTTACTCATGGCAAGCCTGTGTGTGTCACAGTGGAACTGTGCTGCGTAGCATTTTCAGTGGCTGATGTTTAGATCACCAGGCCTTTCTTCCAAAGCACCTCCAATTTTTGGTTAGCAGCCAAGCACGTTAACTGATTGCACCACCCAGGGACTCCTTTGTGTGAATTAGTGAAGATATATTTACTACTTAATCATCTTCCCTTTTATCTGGAAGCCACAAGTCATATCTCTTATGTATGAAAATACAGAAAATGTCCCAGTCACAGGAAGAAGGCCCCAAGAGTATTCAGGAAGGAAACTGAAAACTTCAATTGGCTCACCAATGTC